ACTCTTTTATCCAAAGCGACGTACATCAGAGAGTCAGAACAACACAAACAAGGATCTAGAAAAAAGGGAACAATGTCAGTAAGAGCAAACGATCAGCTTTGAGTCTGATTGGACACACAGGTGCTGACAGGAAGTGACCAGAGGCAAAGCACAACATTGAGGGCAGTTCTTGAGAGCTCTAATCAGTATAGAAACCATCTTATAAGTCATCGTTATCAAACAAAAACCATCGTCATTACCATCATCATCATCAATAATATGGAGACCATCATCATTAAGTTAGTAGGTATTCATGAAAGAGCTGGGTCTTTAGCTTTTTCTTAAAGGTGCAGAGGGACCCTGCAAATCAAAACCACCGGGGGGCGACAGAGGAGAAGAGTCTAGTCAGAGACTTAGGACCCTGTTGGGAAGGTTGGATCAGACGCCTTTCATTGGCAGAGCGTAGTGGGCAGGAGGGAGTGTAGACCTGGATTAGAGAGTTAAAGTAAGGAGGAACCGTTTTTGTCGATGTTTTCTAAGCAAGCAGCAGAGTTTTACATTTCCTCACCTACCAATCAGAATCAAGAAGGGGGCGGGACTTCTGATATCAGATGTGTCATCAAAGATTGATTAGGAGAAACTAACTGTGTGTATTTGTCGACTGGAGTCATGCTGCTGCGTTCAGAGCACAGAACATGTTTCTTACAAACTCGTCTCTGGACAGTAGATCAAAAAAATAAATAAAAACCTTGAAACCAGCTCCCTCTCACCTCTTGGGCAGCAGGCGCTCAGAGGCCAGGTACCCTCTCTGATGCTCCAACCTGTTGTATTCTCCGTACTTGGCCTGGATGGCGTATGAAGCCAGGAGCACGGCGGACTCTGGAGGGCAGTACACATCGCTTTCTAGAATCTCCTCCTTCACCTGCAGGAAGAAAAGCCTCCGGGTGACGTCCTGGATCAGCTCGTCGTTCACATCCTCGGGGTAAAACTTGACCCGGAGCTTGAACAGCAGCGGACTCTCCCTCTTCGGCTCCTGGGCCATCACCTGAGAGCGGCACAGCGGGTATGGGAGAGACACTGTAAGGCTTGTTTGGTTTTGTTGATTGACAGTGAATTTGAGATGAATAAATCAGAGGAGATTAGACGAGTAAATCTAAACAGCAGCGTTACCTTCTTCTCAGGGTTCAGCCACGTGAGGAAACCTTTGGCGTCGATGAACTGAAGGCCGAAGTACCAAATCTCACGCACACCGATTGTCCTGGCAACCTGAGACACAGAAACAGAAACATGTTGAAGATTCTTCTTCCTCTGTTGTTTTATCATTTATCACACTCTGTCATCATAACTTTAATATTCCACCTCTGACAAAACAGCACAACACCAGCTGATAAAAGCTACAGACATTAAACCGGCTCCAATATGAGATTAGATATTACATATCTAAAGTTGTTTGGTAATTTAAAGGAGCAGTATGTAACTCTGACCCCTAGTGTTTAAAACAGGTACTGCAGTCTTCAGTGTTTATCCAGCTCTGCATGGGTCTGTAAACCTTTCTGTGTTCTAACCTCTCTCCATTTTTCAAAAGCATCTCCAATATTGATCCTAGTTTGAGCACGTTTCTGCTCGTGGAGCTTATTAGAAACATGCAGAGGCTTTTTAGGTCGGGTACAATCACTTCTATCTGAACCACTTCTCTTGCCCGCTTCCATCGCTGCAACACCTGTTGACCTGATAACTGCTCTCATATCTGGTAAACCGAGGGGCGTCCAAAACGGCTGTGTATGTGTGTGTGTGTGTCTTAGAAGCGCCTACCTTCTCTGGTCCAAACAAATCCAGAGCATTCAGGAGCAGAATCTAAACTTAAAAGGAGGATAACCTCCATTTGGGGTTTCCCTTTAAACCACCTACCGCCTAAACAGCTTTCTCCGCAGTACCCTTTTTAAACACTAGGTGTCAGAGTGACATATTGCTCCTTTAAATAAAGAAGGTTAAACACATAAAAATCAGGGTGAAGTCTTCTCGTCCTCTCGTACTGACCTGGTCAAAGAGCTGCTTCCCCGTTGTGTTTGGATTGAAGGAGAACTCCAGCTCGGCGTCCATGGTGGTGACGCGCACGTTGACCTGCAGCAGAGACGTGAGGAGAATTTTCAGTTTGGAAACAATCCATGAATTAAACATTTTTTACCCTCATATGACACCTGAATCCATCAGTCGTAACATCATGGTACAGTCTGTGATTTCGCAGAAATGTTGCTTTTTAACCTGACTATGGAACATCTCTTGTGAGTTATAAAGTCAGTTGTGTAAAGGCCTCCTCCTCTCAGGTGGAACTGTGAAGTGGATTGCTCATAAACCATAATTGCTCACTATCTAATTAGACTTTGGACTATGCTTGCAAGGTGCCACAAGGTTGCACAGATTAAAAAAATATCATAACACGAGCTGCTCAGCGAGTTGCCTTAAGAGACGGACACATTTTAAAAACCCGAGGGCGATGAGTTGCACGTTTGTGTGACTCTGCAGATTGGATCTGAATTTGGATTTCAATTTTTTTTTTACAATAAAGCACGACAAACATCGGAGGACTGCGTGACCCCTCGACTGCAGGCCAGGCCCAGGCAGGCAGGAGTTACACAATCGTTTTTTTTATGAAGCTGCAGTGGAGCACACCTCTGCTGTCATAAAGATAAACATCCACTGAAAAACTGGAACATACGTTAATAAAAGCTCCAACGGGTTTCTTCACTGTTTCCACCATCACAAGGTAACGTCTCCTCCCTCTGAAGCGTTCCTCACTGCTACCACGACTCTCCCTCGAATCATTGACCGTGCTAATCTCCACAATGGAGGAGTGATCCATTAGAATCAATCAGTTTGTTAATAGATTACACTTTTATCCTTTTAAAAGCACTCCAAGAACTCTCTCGTAGGAGCAAACTGTTCCAATTTAAACCCACAAGTCAGCACTACTTCATATTTAACACTTTGCAGAACAACAGACACAACATCAGCTGCCTTGAGTCATTCATTTGTTTGAGTTCAAGTTGGTTTAAGCTTGTTGGACGTCTTCATAACTCCTCAAAAGAGGTTTTTCTTCTTGGATTTTTTAATCTTAGCGTGGAGGAGCTGGAAGGCCTTCCTCATCAGATGGATGATGCTCTACCTGAGGGCGTTTAGGAGTCACAGCAGATTAAACATGAGGGTTTCTTTTTTTGTTTTGGGATGTCAAATGGATTATTCCTGACAATCTCACACAATCACAGGGAAAGAAGGAAGCTTTTAAAGTGCGAGTGTTTCTTGGTGAAAGCAGCTCTCGACCCTCCAGTGTCTTTAAAGTTAGTTATTATCTGCTCAGTACGTCCACAGGTCAACAAAAGGCCCATTCCTAAACCACACAGGAGGGTTTTAGTGGCTCTTTTCCTGCTGTGAATGTGTGCAGCATGGGTCAAACTCTACGTTTTGGTTAATGAGTAAATGCCAAGAAGGAGAGGTGCCTCTTGTAAGTAACTCTCCGGCTCAAACACAGAACAAAAGATGTTATTTAAACCGTCAGAATAAACTTCATCAACTCTTAAATGTGTTGTCTTTCCTCTCATGTAGTGAAGTTTAAATGTTTCAAAAGATTATTGTAAAAAAATAGAGATGCCTTGCTTACAAATGTGGACCGGGAAGAGACATTTCAGCGACGCATTAAAGATCTGGACAAAAAGAAATCGGGGGTCTTACTGTTTTGGGCATCTTGGCTCTGTGTGGTGGGCGAGCTCCAGCAGAAGAAAGTGTTTCCCAGGCGGACCGAGGCTGCAGTGGCTGACTCCCAGCACAACCTCCAGCTGATAAAGACTGGTGCTCGGCTCTCGCTGGCAGACTCAAGGGCAGGGCTGGTTGTCCTTTGAACTCGGCTGTAGATCACTCAACAGTGACGTGTGGAGGATCAGCCGTGTTACTATCACACTCAAGTGACAGATTCACCTTCCAGCACGGCTCTCTGAGACACACAGCTCCACCCAAAGACAATCACCCTGTCTCAGCACCTGGACTGACCTTTGATCGGAGCGAGCGAGGAGGCTATAAAGGCCCGGACGTACTATTTATGTTGCCTGTTTGGAGGAGACTGAGTGAGTCATGAGCTGCAATAAAGAAAATCCAACTGAGAAGTTTAACATTTACAAACTTTATTAACAATAGTACAAAAACAAAACCAGGTAGAAAACAAATCGACTAGTTACTGATCGTGTAAACTAGAGGTCAGTGTTGTAGTCCGGAACAGAGTGACCGAGACCAGAGTGCTCAGAGACCAGGACAAGACTGAGACGTTTAGGGATCCAGACCGAGTCAAGACCAAGAACAAGACCATGAATATCAATAAAAAATCATCATCTTGTGAGCCTGTCTGTGGTGGTCTTGACCGGTCTTGAATTCAAACCAGAAGTCCGTCCAGTCTGAGACCGAGACTCCAGTTTGAGACGAGACCTTCAAAAAGTGGTATTGAGACTAGTCCTGAGACCAAGACCGATCTCAAGTACTACAAGACTACTAGAGGTGTCATGATAGTATTTAATCTTTGATATGATGCTGTTTACATTAAAACGATATCGATGTCTGTTTCGCACAAACGTCATGACCATTCCCACTGGGAGGACTGGGGTTAGTAAAGGTTCTGAGGCTCTGGGAGGCAGGTATGAACGCCTCATAATGAAGACAACAACAACATGAAGAAGATGATTCAAACTAATAACAGAAGTTTGTTTAATGAGGTTTTAATGTCAGAGCTCTGTGGTCGTTCAGTCAAACCTAACGACAGGCTGAGAGCTGGAGCTGAGGCCGTTACACCGCACGGCGCTCAGGTCAGCTACACGCCTTATTGTGAATAACTCTTATCCTTCATCAAATCAAAACTGATGAGTCATCAAAACATTCACCCCCCGTACAGTGTGTGTCCATCCAGACATGAGCTAATCACACCTATTTGGTTTTTTTTTAACCAGGCTGTAAACATGTTCATCTCTGCTGTAAAACAGGCTGTTTAGAATGGGTGTGTATGTGACTTCCTGTGCTTCTGCAGCCAGCCTCTAGTGGACACTCCAGGAACTGCAGGATGATTTTACACCTCAGCATTGGAGGTCGCTACTTGGTCTGAGAAATAGCACTTCTTTCCTCTGAGGTTGTGAGAAGGGACTTATATTGTGTGCAGCAGTAAATGTTTCAGGTTTTAGATTTTTGATAGAAGAACAAAAAGTTGAGTAAAAGTTAAGAATTTTGTGGTAAAAACAAAAACAAATTGTGAGGTTAAAAAAAGTCACACGAGTTAGTCAGTTCCTTATGGGGCCGTATTTCTGATGTTGTCTTTTGTGTACCTGTCGTGTCTTGTTGCCTGCTGCAGATCTAATTTACTCAGTCTGTAGAGACTTGGGTTGGAAACTGGAGGGTCGCCAGCTCAAGTCATGGTGCGGACCAAAGTGTGGAAGTTTGAGAGGTGCCAGGTCACTTCCCGAGTACTGCTGATGTACCGTTGAGTAAGGTAGTGTGTGTTGAAGTGTTGTTTGAGGGATTGTTCACATTAGGAGCTCTCACAGAAAACAAAGGATCCTGTAAACCTCCAGTTCAAGTATTTGAGCTTCTGATTCTGGTAGAAGAAGAAGAAGCTGTGATTAGCTGTGAAAAATGTGATTAGAACTCGTCTTTGATTTGAAAGTGAGGCTGGTCCTCCGGTTTGAAGTCTTTGTCAGGACTTCCGTCTGCTGTGAGGATGCGAGATGCCGTGTAACCAACGATGGGATATTTAGTTTTGTACGTGCCTTCAAAAACACTTTCCAGAGACTCCAGCTGCTCCTCGGTGAGGCCCGTCTGTGGATGGAAACAAAGGAGAACAACAAGTTCGTTAAGAGAGTTCTGATTTGGGATTTGGTTCCCTTCTCAGCATCATCATCACTCCATAAGAGTCCCTCTGCACCTTTAAGAAAAAGCTAAAGACCCAGCTCTTTCATGAATACCTACTAACTTAATGATGATGGTCTCCATATTATTGATGATGATGATGGTTTTTGTTTGATAACGACGACTTATAAGATGGTTTCTATACTGATTAGAGCTCTCAAGAACTGCCCTCAATGTTGTGCTTTGCCTCTGGTCACTTCCTGTCAGCACCTGTGTGTCCAATCAGACTCAAAGCTGATCGTTTGCTCTTACTGACATTGTTCCCTTTTTTCTAGATCCTTGCTTGTGTTGTTCTTACTCTCTGATGTACGTCACTTTGGATAAAAGAGTGAATTGTAGAATTGTAGAATTGTAGAATCATCTTTATTGACGGACTCAGGAGTCCATTAGAAAACAGATCAAAACAAACAAACAGAACACCACCAACATTATAAAAGACAGCTGGTAATGTGACGATCGAGACATGAGCTAATCACACCTATTTGGTTTTTTGAACCAGGCTGTAAACATGTTCATCTCTGCTGTAAAAACAGGCTTTTTAGAATGGGTGTGTATGTGACTTCCTGTGCTTCTGCAGCCAGCCTCTAGTGGACACTCCAGGAACTGCAGGATTTTACACTTCAGCATTAGCTTCATTTTTCAACACAGGAAGTTGTAATCCACATAGCGCCCTCTGCTGGTCAGTGTAATACAATGACACTCAAATAAAGCGGTGGAAAAATCAAGTTATATCCGTGATAATAACAGCCGATACAGATAGTCACTGGATATGTTAATGTCGGCTGATATTATCAGCTGGTCGATTAATCGGTCGGTCTCTACTTACAACATCTGACGTCAGGTCAGCTGGGTCCAGGGACATCTTAGCCACAGCTCGGGTCGAGTCTTTACCAACCAGGGCGTTATATGGTGCATCTTTCCCATAAAACTCTAAAATGAGTCACAAAACATCAGTTAAAACTTTATTAAAGTCTTTATTTGTGATGTTTCACACTTAAATATAGAAATCAAGTATCTCCTCTGCAAATAACTCTGTGACTCATGACTGTCTACAATGGGTGTAACACCCGAGTCCCACTGTCTGTGATGTTTTCAGAGTTTTCAGAGTCCTATCTTCACTTTGTTTACATCGCCAGGACGGCTGGCTGACTCCTCCCCTCGTGTATAAAAGTTGTTTAATTGAGGGACTAGAGAAAAGAAGAATAACATACTGTACTCACTGCTTAACTGTGTTTCTAGATCACGCTCAGATCTAGATAAAAAATCACATATAAAGCCTTTAAAGTTTAAATACAGTCTAGTTCTCTCAGGAGGGACTGGAGTGTCCACTTTACTTTCATGCTCATTTAGTTTGAATTAATAATTTTCCATCTTGTCGATGGTTTTAATGGATCCACATTCTTCTTCCAGGTGTTGGTTTGTGTTTACCTTTGCCCTTGGTGACATCAAACACAACTCCTTTAACTGCCATGTAAAGAGGCTGTCCCTCCTGAAACAGGGAGAGGGGACACAAAGATAAAGAAGACAGATTCAATCAGTGAACAGAGACAGTGACCAACAATCAGCTGTGCAGGATGAACACATGAA